GAATTGAGTTCTGAGAAAGGGTCACTGGACCCGAGATGTTAGCTCTTTTACTTTCTTCACAGATGCTGCCAGATCTGCTGAGCTTTTCCAGTAACTTTGTTTTAGTTCCTGATTTACAGCATCCGCAGTTCTTTCGGTTTTTATTCAGACACTCTGCTGTAGTGTTTGTTTTAATACTTGTAATGTGTTTAAAATAAACTAAGTTACACAGTTAATCAGTCCCTGAGAAGTGATTGATTCTTAGACCAAAATCTTTAAAAAGATATAATGCCAGCAGTGGAGAATTGTGGCTTTGAACAACTAACAATGTGAAGAATTCACAAAAAGGCCGAGGAGAAATAGCGAAAGCAAATACAGCAGAAAAAATCATGAAAAATCTGCAATAAAACAGCTGCAGAGCAATGCTACAGAGCAGTGAGTACAAATCTTATGAAATAAGCCTTTAAGAAAACAGCAGACACAAAGCTCCAGAATGGAAGTGTTTAAAATTGAATTCTGGAGCAGAACTGAATTGCATCTGAAACAAAGCTGTTTTAGAAGCCAACACAAACTAGTAAGACCAGGGAAATAATTCTGAGGGCTGAAAAACTTTTATCAAGAGTTTGGATTTTTTTCAGTACTTGGAAAAGTCTGTGACTGCCATTTTGAAATGGTTAAAGGTGTGAATCTGCAATTTTGTTTTAAGGTAGAGACATTAAGAATGATATTCTTTTACTATTTGATGAAGATAGAGTACAGTTAAAAAAAATTCAAGAGTCTTAACAGCAACAACAAATGAAAGGTCTCACAAGCACTATTGCAACAACGTTGCTGCATTGAAGAAGTTTGTCTTCTAGCAATTTAAAAATACAGCAGTTGTTTTTCAAGAAGAAAACATTTAAGAGACAAGAACAGGCATAGTCTGTGTGCTGGTTAATTAGCCAGGAAGGAAAGGTCAAGGGCACCTTATCAAATATCTTCAAAATTCCCTTGTTTAAATTGGAGTATCAGAGACCTCCTAGCAGAATTTCAAAGGTTCAGAGGTTTCTAGACTCTGATGTGGCTGATGCAGAAAGACAAGTCATTACATTTGTTTAACAACTGTGGATGAAGGTCTATATGGAGTTAATGCATCAAGATTAACAGTTGAAGAGATAAAAGACACTCCAAAGATATGGAGCAATTCAGAATTAGAATAAAGTAGGATAAACACCGACTAGGGTTCATGTCACTCGGACAGAAGCCTTCACATTCCCGAGATCACTTTGTGAGAGATACAAAGAAAAGGATTTGTGACTTTTCAGATGGGGAGCTTGAAAATGGAACTGTTGAATTGGTGACCACCTTCACCTACATGAAAGCCTTCCAGAAAGATTTGAGATGAACTGTAGACTTGGTGTGTCGTACATCTACTGAAGAATGGAAGCAAGTACGAAATGATCAGCCTTGGTCAACAAAGCTTTCAGGTTCAAAGTACAAACTCAATGGTTGACACAATTATGAGAACATCCAAATATAGCAAGTTGTGTCATAGGTATAATCTTCTCTATGTATCAAGGTGATCCCTTGCTTTCAAATAACTTGGTAAGGCACATGGTATAAATGACTATTTGTAGAGGCAGTGTGCTACAATGTAGGCTGATGCAGCTACAAAGAACTGTATTCTGAGCCAAACAGATTACTCGCAAGGGCAATCTGCTATCCCATCAGAGAAATATACAGAACCAGAATATGATAATGTACGTGACAAGACCAATGAATGGTGAACACATCTTTTACGTTGTTAATCTATTGGAGTGATTGATTTGTAGATCAATATGATGAGATTTGACCACGATTTCCATGCCCAAGAGGACTGACTTCAAGCTCCATGCATAATGCCATATTCCATCATGTTGCTTGACATTGCATGTTGGTTTTCTAGCAGGCCTGTCAACACACTAAGCATTTCATGGTGTATTGCCATCAGCCTTTCACTATAATTTGCCTCATCTTAGCGCATGAGTGTTTTGCATTAGAGTTCATGTGCAAGCTCATCTCCTATTGATGCAGGCTGCTTGTGCCTAGTGTCTCAGCATATGCAGATCTTGCCTGTGTTATCCTCTATAATGTAAGTGTCAGTAGCCAAGCTTTTGGCTGTGAGTGTGAAATTAAGGGATATTTTTCATGCTCATCTTCTTGCTTTTCCACATGTGGCCTGACCAAGTGGCATTCGTTGTGTATCTGAAGGAGGAATAGAGGAAGGATAAATTTGTGCTGTGGAGAATTTAAAAGATGCATTCAAACACATCTGTATTTTATAAGTCAGAATACGTTCTGAGATTAGAGACAAGTAGAAATAGGATACCATCATATTCTGATTTCTGCCCCCATCATTGTCCACAGATTCAGAAATGGGCGTTCTCATGTACTTCCTTCTCTATGGTAAAGACATAATGTTGCACCTGACACTTGTTATGAGCTGATCCTGCTGCCTCCCATTGTGTGCCACCTTGTCATGAAAGACAGATGAAGTTGGTGACTATGGTATTTGTCATCATCGAATATCTGGCAGCATGTAAACTGAGAGATATGAGTCTGAGGCATACAGAGTGTAAGTTTGTGAGAGTCAGGTGGAGCTATGAATGTTAGGAGAGAGTCAAGATTGATAGACATTGTTGATGAGTGAGTATTTGAATGTCATAGATTGAAATGTCTGTGAAGATAATAGTGCAGTTAGTGAAATATGACATTTGAAGAAATGTGGTTAACTTGACTACTTGTCTGACATTATTGAACTTTTGCAGCACAGGTCCACATTGCCTACCAAGGCTACCTTGTCACATTGCCTTCACAAAGTTTGAAAGCCTCTTGGCCACCTTTGGGTGGATCACCATCTCCATTAAGTATCCAGAGCATCATAGGAAACCTCAGGCTATACTGTCTCCATTTTGTGACATGATTCACCATTCGTCAAACTTACAACTACAAGTATTTCTAATGCCAACCTCAACCAGAATTAATCTCGCTTTCAAGAGATGTGAGTTGATTTTTGGTATTACAGATAAATTTTGCGTTGTTGGCTTCTCTCAAACGTGGACCCATGTTGAGACATGGACCTACTCAACTGCACGTTTCGTGTTCGCTGCAGGTAGCAACCATGCAAATTAGTAGGAGCTGTGAATTTGACATGTTATCTGCATTGAAACAGTGAGCAAAGACTAATTCCTGCATTGTATTCGACTGGCCCTTTTTTAATGTCTGTTGCTCAGGGTCATTTATTCATTTTCACCAAAGCCATAATGGGGCTGTTGACAATGTATTGCTTCTACTCTGATTTTCTACAAGCCTTCTTTGCCAATGTCTCAAAGTTATCCACCCATTTGATATTTCTTCTTCCTCTCTTTTTTACTGTCACTCATTCATGACCATGATCAGTCTTTTGGGGTCATGTTTGCATTGTCTTTACTTGGCTTTTGCATCTTTCTATCTCTAACTGTGCTTAGCAACCCTGTGGAATCCTGAGCTTCTGTTCTTGATCTAATCCACTCATTAGTCTTTCTGTCCATTTGAGGTTGCCAACATTATTAAGTGGATAGTCTACCTTGTAGACTGGAGACCAGGTATGGCAGTGGATATTACTTAATGAAACAGGAAAGAATCTCAAGAGCCATTACTGAGCTCACTAATAATCTTCACAAATACATGTGGGATAATTTAGAACCAATCAATCAAATTGTAAATACGTAGAGTTGCCATATCTATTATTTAAATTACTTCATGATGTGGAGGAGCTGGTGTGGGACTGGGATGGACAAGGTCAGAAATCACACGACACCAGGTTATAGTCCAACAAGTTTATTTGGAAACACAAGCTTTCGGAGCATAGCCCCTTCGTCAGGTGAAGTGACCTTAAATTACTTCACTTATTGTCTCCCACTTTGGCAATTCTGAAACCAACACAAATATGGCAGAATAAATTGAGTAGATGGAATTACTATGCACTCTGCCCATTTTTTTGGCTGTAAAATAATGGCCAGTTCAGCATGGGGATGGTCTGAACCCAAACTACATAGGCGTGCAGGCCACTGATAGAGTAATTGCGTTCACGTTTGAGGCAAATTCCTAGCAGCCAAGTAAATGAATTTTAGGAGCCCACAAATGTAAATGAAGGATATAAATGAGGTCCCATTCTCCTGAAAATTGTTTGGTGATGAGTGAAGTAGAAGTAGAAACTGGGATTTTTCAGTAGTCCCTGGAGCTACCAATGATAAACAACTTTATTTTGTTTGGAAATAAGTTCCACATTCATTGCTGTAGCGATATGAGGAGCCAAGCATTTCACTGATTCCATAGCATTTATGATTGCTTCACCATCATTGACTGTCCACATCCCCAATCCCAAGAACTTCCTTTAGGCTCCTGCCAGTGAGGCAAGCAGCATGGCACTCCTCTTCAGGAAAGGAGCAAGTCATCTGAGGAGGTTTGTGGAAGATGTTCTTCCAAATATTTGTAATGAGGTCTGAGGGCCAATTTTGAACTCTCTCTAAGCCTCCTGTCTGGGATGCATGCTGTTGACCAACCACTGATTCAGCACTGAAAGTGGGCTATTATCTTTTATCTTTGCATTATATCTGTCAACTGAACAAAAGAGGCAGCAGACTGGAACCTGCTGGGTTGCTGTTCCAGCTAAAGAGTGTATTTGTTGACTTGTGTGGAAATGATTTTGGAAAAGATAAATTGTGTTGTGGTGTGTACAATTCAATTTTATAATAAATTTGACACATTAATACTTATCGAAGACACTGTGTTATATGCTTAGAAAACTTCATTAATCACTCATAATTTTCAAGTTACATATGTTTAAACTATTGAAATAGCAAAATGTCTACAACATGATATTTTTTCAAATAGATAAGTTTTTGTGTTCAACTCAAATTCATAATAAGTGGAATCACATTTATAACTGATTGAAATAAAATGAACTGCTCAGTATTTTTTACACTTTATGCCTGTTAATGTAAAATTTGTTTGTCTGACAGAGATTTCCAACAGAGGATCACCTAATGATTCACAGGCATAAGCATGAAATGACTTTGAAATTTCCAGCAATAAAAACAGATAATATTTTATCAGGTAAGAACACAATATTCAATAATTACATTTACACATTGGTAAACTCTTACAAAAGACATTATATTGTAAAATGTACTTTATTTAATTAAAAAAATATAAATTATACTTTATGTAGAAGAATATAACAGTAAAAGCCTTCAATATAACTCCAGAAAGTAATTTAGACTGATGTTCATTATCTACAGAATCATAAATAGGTGCAAATTGATTGTGATTTCTTCTTAAGTACAAAGGCTGACCATGCAGACAATGTATACAAGAGTGGGGCCCTAATACTTGGCCAAAATTGAGCTTAGGGCCTTGTTGAAACAATGTGGGCAAGGTACCACCCAGAACCTGAAGTTTCACTCTGATCACTGATCAATTTAACGCAGGAGTGCCAAATAGAAATCGTGTTTGCATTTATATATAAAGCTGATCTCCACAAGTACCTGGACAATTGCCTATATCAACAGTTTCTGTATCGCTGGCAGTTATTGGAGTAGACATTACTCTTTGAAATTGCATGAATAAAAAAAGGTGAAATGAAGCCTAATTGCTACAATAAAATATTTTTAAAAGAATATTTCATAACATATATATTTCTATTGAGCCAAACATGTTTTTGATATTCCCAGCTCATCAGAAGAAAGGGTGGGTGGGCTGTTTAAATTGCTCAGATGAGTTCTCAGATAAAATCTCACCGTGCTTTTAACTTGTTCTCCTGTGCAGGGAATAGGGCATGTACCCAAAACCAGTAGAATGATTGAACCCATATATATTATACAGGAATGATAAGAACAGGAGTGCAGAACTTGGTGGGGTAATAGCATTTAAAAAATAAATTATGTTTTCACACTGAAGTCTAAACACAGTATCTTTCTATTTTTCTATATTTTTGATTGTGGACTGAAATGGGAAAATGTTTTTTTTTTAAAGTAAACAAGGATTGTGGAAAAGATTCCTGCACTTTTTAAAAACAAGTTACCTGATATTCACTAAATGCTGCTCACACTGTTTGTTGTTGGGGAGGTTACTACAAGTGAGCTGGAGCAAGGGGATGTGTATGAAGGGAGATTTGGCTGCCAATATATAACTGATTGATCTGTGGAATAGTGACAAGCTGTCAATGACAAAGCCTTCTGCTCGCCAACTGCATGATTGGTTCCCAGGTAGCTGAACATGTTGTGGGTGTGAATGTTTGGTCAGAAACCATTAGACCTCAGAAACGGAAAGAGCTGTCCTGTTCGCTGCAGTAAAAGAACACATCTTTAGCCTGAAGAAAGCCAACTTGTTTCCCCTTGTCAGTTGCTATAAGCTGTTCTTGCGGTTACTATTCTGTCATTTAGATACAAGTAAATTCTTGGTTGTTGTCAGATGTGCTCACTGCTTGAAATGCAGTCTGAAGATAGGATCCGCAAATGCACCAATCTCTAATCCACTTATGTTCCTTGCCTGAGAATTATGAGCATCTTTTATTTCACTCAGATTTGGGTAACTGTCAGTAATGTATGGATTTTTATTGTTACATATTCCTCAACTTCTACCACAAATTCAGTATTGTTTCAATGCAAGATAATGCATCTGCTGTTGTTTCCCTTGAACATATACCGTATGAGTATCAAACTCACAATCTTAAATTCATTCACTCTTTGAACTTTGATAGCATTGCTGCAATATCTTTTGAATTCAAAAGACTGTGACTAAAGGTTTGTGGTTCATTTCAATTGTTTTGTGAAGAGTTAAGACATAGTCATTCTATTTCTCTCACACCCATGTAGCAGCTAATATTCCCTTTCAATTACTGTTATCTTTTCTCTGCATCTGATAATAACTATGCAAGTATCAATTATACGTATTAGACTGGTCTGCATTTTTCAATTCATACCTGTAACAGTGCTGCCCCTAATCTGTAGAGGATGTGTCTGCTCCAATTCAAAAACATAACATATTAATATCTCTGATGACATCAATCACTCTCTGTCTTCCTAATTTTTTTTCAAATTATTTCTGATGTGCTTATTCTCAACACTAAGAAATCAGACATTGTTCTTTGAAAGATGCCCACTGATGTTATTCCGAAGTTTAATCTGTTAAAATAACATCATCCAGATAGTGTTAAGAAAATTGAGAGAAGCTGGGATTCCTCCTGTTCTGGTGGTATTTTCAAAATTCAGTGTTAGTGTCTAATTTACAGAATGTTGAGTTCTTCCCTAATTTTGTTACACTGTCATCTACTGAATCCGTTTGATGGAAATTCTCTTTTAGCAGCTTTGAATTGTGTGAAGTAAGCACAACCTGATATGAAACCTTTTGGCTTTCAAACCAGAATCATTCTTTAGCAGAAACTGATTAGATCTTTTCCTGATGAACTTTACAGCAATTCCTCCAATATCTAATTTAAAGTATATCTTGTGACCTTCTACCAGGATCTCTGAACTCCAATAATTTCCTTCCAGGGAGAGATAAAAATAGTATTTCAATATCTTGTGAGTTTTCCATTTCATGGTCTTTATTTACTTTTAAAACATTTAAAAAAAAAAGTAATTTCCTCTACAGCAACATACCACCTGATAGGACAATTCCCAAACCCATGCTTTCCACAGAAAGCGGTTGAGGCCAAAGCAATGAATGTTTTCAAGAAGGAATTAGATATAGTTCTTGGAGCTAAAGGTATAGGAAGAAAGTAGGAACAGGGTATTGAAGTGGATGATCAACCATGATAATACTGAATGGCAGAGCAGGCTCAAGGCGTTGAATGGCGTACTGCTGTTTCCTATGTTTTATTCCTGTCCATCAGCAATTAATCTGGACTCAAATCTTGTGCTACTTCGGTTACAGTTCAGCCTGACTTCAGACCTGAAAATTTCTGGAAATTCTCCGGTAGAGACAGAAATTTTTCTATCACCAACTTTTCATTGTTTGTTACCATGTATTGTTCTACTGTTGTGTTGGAGTAGCTTCAATAAGCCTTGAAGACCTCTAGCTATTAAACAGCTTTATTATAACACATTTATAGTTTTAAGAACTGCACAGCTTTTTCCACGCTACTTTCTATTAGACACTCAGATCATGTGAGTGCATATTTCCTTCTCTGTGATGACGTTGCGGACTATTACAATTAACTCCTTATGGGATATAGTTTAACATTTTCAATAAGGACTCTCACCAACTATCATAGATGCACTATAGAAAACATTCTATGTGGGATGCATTACAGCTTGGCAGAGCAACTGCTCTGTCCAGGACTGTAAGAAACTACAAAAAGTTGTGAACACAGCCCAATCCATCACAGAAGCCAACCTTCCATCCATTGATTCCACTACACTTCTCGCTGCCTTGGAAAGGCAGCCCGCATTGTCAAAGATCCATTCCACCCTGGTTATTACCTCTTCCAACATCTTCTGCTACAAAAGCTTACACACATGGCCAACAGGTTCAAGAACAGCTTCTTTCCTGCTATTAGTCTGAATGGACCTCTCAAATTTCAAAGCTAATGTTGATCCTGCTTTTTGTGCACCAGACTGGGCTCTAACTGCCCAGTCAGAGCTTCAGACTGGGCATTGTGACCAGTTTTGTGGCAGGTGACAACTATTCAAATGGAATAAGTTGCATGTCAAAAGATATACGGACCATTCCTCTTACAAGGAGGTTTATGAGTGTGGTTGACAGGGCTTAAACTAAACCAACAGGAAGTTGGGCACTAGCATATAGAAGTAGAAAAGAGGAATACAATACACTAAGTGAAAGTGATGGGCAGTATTAGAGATGGTAGTAGTTCCATATTAGATAGGGGCCAATGATGGAGGGCTGCAGGGAATGTAAAGACATGATTCTAATGCTTGTGTGTAAATGCATAAAGTGTCGTGAATAAGATTGGTGAGAAACAAGCTCAAAAAGCGATGTAGGAATATGTTGTAATGGCAATAACAAAAACATGGCTACCTCTGAGACATGAAGGTACAAGTCCTACCTGTTCCAGAGGTGACTCACAGCGTATCTAAACAGGTTCTTTAAACATACCTGTGAAGTGAAAAAGGAAGGTGGGGTGGCAGTACAGATTCAAGAAGACATTGTGTTATTGGGAAGGGGGGATGGCACTGAGAGGGCAAGGACATAATTCATTTGCTTAGAATTGGGAAGCAACAAGGGTTTAATTTTGTTACTGGCTGTATTCTGTATGCTTCCCAATATGCGGGAGAGAGATCTGCAAAATTTCAGGGTGAAACGGATATGTAAAAACTATGAACTGTAATATTGGGGGACTTTAATTATCCAAATACTGATTAGAATAATGTTAGAATAAAGGATAAGGATGGGCATAAATTTCTGAAATGTGTTCTGGACAACTTCCTTAATCTGTATGTTCATGATCCATTGGAAATGGGGCATTACTTGATCTGGTGCTGAGAAAAGAGGTGGTCACGTGAATGAAATGTTGGTGGGGAACTCTTATCACATGAATAAGATTAGTAATAGAGAAAAGCAGGGATCAATATCAAGTAGAAAACCTAGATTGGAAAGGGCTAATTTCAATGTGATAATTAAGAGGTTTATTCAAGGTAAAATATAACCAAAGACTAAAGGAAAGAAGTGTAAAGGAGCATAGGTGGTCTTTAAGGAAGGGTTGTTTCAGGCACAAGCCAAGTACATTCCATTGGAGGTAAAAGGTAGGGCAACCAAAAATTGGGATCCTTAAGTTACAAGGGAGATAGAGATGATTATGAAATGAAAAAAAGTGAACATGTCAGGCAATTCTTTGAGTGAAAACCAGATCAAATACTTAAGGTTGAGAGGAGAGATGGAGAGGAAAATAAGACTTGCAAGGAGAAAAATGTGAATGAAACCACAATTAATGTAAAAGACAATCTAAAAAATTCTATAAGCATATAAACAGTAAATGGACAAGTAAGAAGTGCAGTGGTCCTGTTAGGTACAAACTGTATAAAAAACTTAGAAGGATAGAGTACTTAATTAATTCTTTTATCAAGTGTTTTCTAAGCAGGAGGAATCTGGCAAAA